CTGAAGAGGCCCAAACCATGAGAGTCCAATAAAATTAGCCCAATCTTAGGCCCAAAAACCAATCTTCGAATGGATGTCCAAACCAAGCCAGCTCAGCGTATGAAGCCCAGCCAGCAGCCCAACCCGTAAGCCCAGCTCCGTCCAGCCAGCAGCGTCCCTCCCAGCCCGTCACTGCGTCTAGGCCCAAGATCAGCCCAGATTGCGAAACAGTCCAGCCCAGCACGCCGAACTCATGGGAGATCCAAAGAGTTCAACCGAAAGATATCCAAGCCAGATGTTAAGATCAAGATGAGGTCCGAAGATAGCCCAAGTAATCTAATGCTAAATGAGGAAAATGAGAAGGAGAAATAAACAAGGTGAAGAAGGAGAAGAAGAGATACCACTATGGGTCAGTGGCCAACCCTTAGCCCATTACCGCCGGCAGATAGCGGGTGCTCTAGCCTCACGCGCAAGCACTGACGCAGGCGGAAGAAACCTCATCGGGTCCCACCCAGCCTCCCGACGAGGGCACCGATTTGATGACGGTACCACGCATACGCACTTTCCGTGTGCGCCACGAGTGCTCAAATCCTTAATCCGCAAGCACCGACGGGCATCCTTTACCGCGGACGCGTACGTGCGCCTTTTGACCGCAGGCGCGGTCGTTAAGGCACTCAGATGAAGTGCGAGATGGAAAAAGCCTTTACCGGACAGCCACCTCTGCCCGGGCTAGGATGCCAAATACCGCTGGCAACTACGGGCGCTATAAACCCCAGACGCTAGCGCCTACGTACCCCAGGAGCCGCAGGAATCGACGGGGACGAAAGAAACTCTACGAGACTACGCCCATCATCTCGCAGAGGCACCGTTCACCGCCGGTACAACACGTGGCCCCAAACCGTGGGAACCAACGGGCACCCTTTAACCGCGGGTACATACGTGCGCCTCTTAACCGCAGACGCGGTCGTTAAGGCACTCAAATAAGTGCAACTAGGGTTTAGGGTTTAGGGTTTAGGGTTTAGGGTTTAGGGTTTAGGGTTTTTTTTTAAAGAAAAATGCATTTTATTAAATAATCAAAGAATACAAACGTCTGAACAAGCAGGAACAGGCTCCTCACTTGTATAAAAAGTAAGCAACAACCAAAGACCTATAATGTGAAGCGCTTATCGGATATGGGAACATAGACTTAAGTGCAATTACAAAGCCGGTTCAGAACATTCCACTTATATCTAGGAATAAAATCATTCCCGGAGCCCCAACCCCCACAAGGGTAAGGCCTAAGGTGAGATAATCCGATCAAGAAAAATGTTCTTAGCCAAGAAATGCAATAGACATAAGTCCAGTCTAAAATCCAGAAAAGCCCAACTAAAATGGAGAAGTAAAAAATATGTGCAAAAATAACCCAAGTAAGCCAAGGATGAGCCCAAAATATAAGCCAATGCTAGGCCCGAACCATGAGAGTCCAAAAGCAGCTCAATCCAACTCGGCCCAATTCTATGAGGAAGCCCAAGTCCATGTAAGTTATGCAAGAAGTCCAAGGCCCAACAAAAGCCCAAGGTATCATGTGAAAAGAAACCCAGAATATCCAAGAAGGAGAAGGCCCAACAGATGAAGCCCAAAACGGCCCAAAACTACGGACCCAACTAATAAATATCAGCGTCCAAATCAGCCCAAAGCCTGCTGCCATCCAAGCCCAAAGCGGCCCAACCGTGCCAGCCCAGTCCACCGAGCAGCCCGAGCCCAGCAGCCACAACCCAATGCCCAAGTCCAGTCTCTAGCCCAGAGTAGCCCAAGCCCAGCCGAAACCCAAATCAGCCGAAGTGGCCCAAATCCAGAAGTTGTCCAGCCATATAAAATATCCAAGTCCAAAGTGTGGGAAATCCAATGTAATCCAAAGATCCAGCATGATGAGGATGTCCAGAAGAAGAGTGATCCAAGAAATGAAGTCCAAGAGGATAGAAGAAAGAAGAGAAAAAAGAGGTACCACTATGGGTCAGTGGCCAACCCTTAGCCCATTACCGCCGGCAGATAGCGGGTGCTCTAACCTCACGCGCAAGCACTGACGCAGGCGGAAGAAACCTCGTCGGGCCCCACCCAGCCTCCCAACGAGGGCACCGATTTGATGACGGTACCACGCATACGCACTTTCCGTGTGCGCCACGGGTGCTCCAATCCTCAATCCGCAAGCACTGACGGGCATCCTTTACCGCGGACGCGTACGTGCGCCTTTTGACCGCAGGCGCGGTCGTTAAGGCACTCAGGTGAAAGTGCAAGATGGATAAAGCCTTTACCGGACAGCCACCTCTGCTCGGGCTAGGATGCCAAATACCGCTGGCAACTACGGGCGCTAAATCCACAGACGCTAGCGCCAACGTACCCCAGGAGCCGCAGGAGTCGACGGGGACGAAAGAAACTATGCAAGACTACGCCCATCATCTCACAAAGGCACCGTTCACCGTCGGTACAACACGTGGCCCCAAACCGCGGGAACCAACGGGCACCCCTTAACCGCGGGTACATACGTGCGCCTCTTAACCGCAGACGCGGTCGTTAAGGCACCCAAATCAGTGCATCTAGGGGTTACCCCCATCCTCATCCGTGTGGAAAAAGGCCAGATCTTCCATAGGAAAGAGAGATCGTACCGTGTCCTCCACCGCATCATCCCTCCTCGGTCTAAGAAGCTCCTTAGCAGAAGCAAGAGTGAACTTCCCGTCCGTAGACGGGGTCCAGACCGGAATATCCGCATGATCAGAAACAAGAGACGGCGGTTCAAGACGCAGCTGCCGTATGAGATCAGGGGGCAGCGCCTCATGATCAATCATAAAATCAGAGTGATACATATCGCCCACTCCATCCGTCTAGTATCCACTGCAGCCATCGACCTGGTGATGCAAGGCACCCAGTCCAGACCATGTATCCCACCAGAAATTAGACGTGCCAGAAAGTACACGCCATCGAATCATAGGTTCGACCATAGCCCGAACATCGAGCATGCGCTTCCAAGTGTGTGAATCATCATCAAGGCGTTGTTTCGACACAGGGTGGACGCGGCTGCAGTACTTAGCCCTCATGAAAGCCGTCCAGATAGAATCCTGCGTCCTAAAATTCCACCAGAGCTTGGCCGAACAGGACTTAGCCAAAGTCATAAAATCAAGGAAGCCGACCCCACCCTCTCTCATCGGACGAGCCAAAGTCTTCCAAGATCCCCAATGATAGCGTCGCATCCCTCCCAAGCTAGACCAAAAAAATCGAGCCATGATAGACTCCATCTCACGTATCACCGCTTTGGGAGGGAAGTGCGCAGTAAGCAAGTGTGTCGGGATCGCCTGTAGAACACTCTTAATCTTAATAGCTTTACCCCCCCGGAGAGAGGTAGCGCCCCATCCACGCACAACACTTATCCCGCATCTTCTTCAGAACAGGCTCAAAGTAATGAATGCGCTTCCGACCATGATAAATAGGACAACCAAGATAAGTGAAAGGAAGGACATCCAATGAACACCCGAGAGTATCTCGAACACGCTCCAGCACGGGTGCCATCGCCTTAGGGCGCATATAGAAGGCACTCTTAGCGAAACTGACAGCCTTGCCTGAAATCTGCTCATATGACTGTAAAACTGCTCGAACCCTCTCCAAGGTGTTCCCCTTTGCCGAAGTGAAGATGACAATATCATCGGCGTAGGCAAGATGATGGATATGTGGTGCATCACGGGGCTGTGTAAACCGAACAACTGCAGAATCTGTATACAGCTGGGCCAAAGAGCGAGAAAGAACCTCCGCTGATAGAATGAACAAGGACGGAGAGAGGGGGTCGCCCTGCTGCAAGCCCCTCGTCGAATGAAAAAAGCCCTCTCGAATCCCATTAATAATTACTGAGTACCATATATTCGAGATGGCCCGATAGACCAAATCGATCCAAGTCTCTGAAAATTCAAATCGGCGCAATACTGACATCAAGAAAAACCAAGAGACGCGATCATAGGCCTTCATCATGTCCAGCTTCAGAATGACATCTTCATTATCCACCCGCATCCCGTGACACATCTCCTGAGCTAAAAGAATATTATCAGTGATAGAACGCCCCGCCACAAACCCGCTCTGATGTGGGGAGAGCAGTCGTGGAAGCACAGAAGCCAAGCGAACCACCATAATCTTCGTGATGATCTTCTTGCAGTAAGGGTTTAGGGTTTAGGGTTTAGGTTTTAGGGTTTAGGATTTAGGGTTTAGGGTTTTTTTTAAAATAAAAATGCATTTTATTAAATAATCAAAGAATACAAACATTTGGACAAGCGGGAACAGGCTCCTCACTTGTATAAAAAGTAAGAAACAACCAAAGAACTATAATGTGAAGCGCTTATCGGATATTAGAACATAGACTTAGGTGCAATTACAAAAACCGGCTCATAACATTCCACTTAGATCTAGGAATAAAATCATTCCCGGAGCCTCAACCCCCGCAAGGGTAAGGCCTAAGGTCAGATAATCCGATCAAGAAAAATGCTCTAAGCCAGAAAATGCAATCGACAAAAGTCCAGTCAGAATCCAAAAAAGCCCAACTAAAGAAACAAATAATATATGCAAAAATAATCCAAGTGAGCCAAGTAGAGCCCCACACTGAAGAAGCCCAAATAAAAGGCATATGTGCATCTGAAGCCCAACCTGAAGAGGCCCAAACCATGAGAGTCCAATAAAATTAGCCCAATCTTAGGCCCAAAACCAATCTCGAATGGATGTCCAAACCAAACCAGCTCAGCGTATGAAGCCCAGCCAGCAGCCCAACCCGTAAGCCCAGCTCCATCCAGCCAGCAGCGTCCCTCCCAGCCCGTCACTGCGTCCAGCCCGTCACTTCGCATAAATAAAAGAGTCTTGGTGGAAGGAACAAGTCTCCAACTCACCAGAAAAATGCAGTAAAAATAAAATAAAGACTAAGACAACAGAATAAATATAACAGTGAAGAAGAGCCGGCTGCCAAAGTCAAAAGGACCAGGTAGCAGAAATGATCAACGCGAAAGCAGTGCTGACTACCCAGTCAAGCCTTCCGGGAAAGTAAATCAGCCCAAGAACCGCTCCTCATAAGCACGGTATCTCGAGCGTGTCTTCCTGTAGTTCCGCGGCGGGGACAACCCAGCCGCCTCTAGGTCCCGCTGAAAAGGCTGAAGATCATTCCCATAATATCCAACTTTGGATTTGGGCTCAAATTTATATTTAATGTCTTCCTGCTCCTCTTCCCAGATCAAGTCATCGTCGTCCTCATCTGAAAGGTCGGAATCCTCACCGTACCTACGACCATCACAATGATAGCGGACTTCATGCTCATCCTCGTACGAAGGACCGGGATCCTGACAGTACAAAGGATAGGGCGCAAAATCCCTATTCGAAGGAATGGTGTTGGCCGAACGGTTCAAAGTGCAGATCATGGGAGTGCGGACCGCAGGAGTACGAGGGGTTTTCTCCCTCCTCCTCCCTAAATCAATATCAGTAGAAGCAAAGGGGAGGGAAGAGGCATCAAACTCAAGATCTTTAGCAGGCTCCTCAGGCTCGTCAGATGTCTCTAGCAATTTTAACTCCTCCGAAGTGGGGGGTCGAGAACCTTTGCCCGATTTTACCTGCCAGTCAGAAGTGGGTTTTGAAGGTGGAGTGCTTGGATTCTTGGGTTTGGGAGATGGGCCAAGGGACATTGGGCTAGGAGAATTTTGGATGTGGGGTGTGTGGGCTGG